CACTAGCTACGGTCCTGACACACATCTTTCACCTCATCAACACGCATCAGTGCTTTCATACACGCTCGTCGGTTATGGATACTCTTGACCTGGCCCTTCTTTAGGATGGTCTCAATTTGGTCATGGTAAGTTTGCCTTACCAACTTGCCCGCTCACACTCGCCTTATAAATCTGTTTCGTCAATCGTCTTTCATGAATTCTTTTGTTACTACATCTTCTTCCACGCCGCAATGCTCTTTTATCACACTGTTCCATAATTTATCCATCAGAGTCACTCCAGCCACACTCCTCAAAGGTCTCGTTCTACCGCATTAATTCTATTTTCGTGCTTCTTCTGCCAAACCCAACATTCACTACCATACATAAGTGTAGGAACCAGAACCCCTATGCACAGACAGTCGTGCCTTTTTAGATACTTTCTGGCTGCCTATGAAGGCAAGCAAGGCACCAGTCACCTGATTCCTCTTCTGCCAAACCCAACATTCACTACCATACATAAGTGTAGGAACCAGAACCCCCCATGCACAGCCAGTCGAGCCTTTTTATATACTTTCTGGCTGCCTATGAAGGCATGCAAGGCTCCATTCACCTGATTCCCTTTCACTCTACATTCAATGCTATTGTATTCTACTTGCTAACAGCCTGAAAACTGTATTTGTAAGTTCGGAAACTTTACAATGATATTTGAAATTAATCTTTCGCCTACAGATATAGCGACGCACACGCAGGTTTAAATACCTACGTAGGTACTTTGTTAACTTTTACTTTTAACAAACTAGTTTTCTCTCGGTGTAGGAGTAAAGTATCACAATACCATCAAACTTAAAGATATCCTATTAGGTCAGTTGCTCTATATTATTATGGTAGACATTTAAAGCCAAGTCTCTCCACGAAGTTCCTGCGATCGTGATGATGTTTGTTATTAGTAAGATTTACATTTGTGTAGAAGCATATTTGCATTACAAGAACGCGTAATCTGCGTCTTGGTTGTCTATAGAAGCATTGTGACACTTATGGCAATATAATACGTGACTTCCAGTTTGGCTTCTAACACTGTTGTTTCTTGCTAGCGATAGGCGATTGTAAATGAATTCGATATTCGACTCTTTAGTAATTACTAATCCTGTCACTCGAATGACAAATTAATAATCTACTAAGTTTCGTATTCGAATAGTCTGATTAATTTGAAAGATTATTCATTAGCATTACTAATTAATATTATTAATCCATAGATTCCATAGAGCATTTCTGTTCGTGATCACCTAGCTAGCTCTCTCTGGCATATGATAAATACCGTAATTGTGATGGGAGTAGGGATATTTTGATATGGACATGGTGAATGATCTGGTGGAGTTCCGATATAATAATTATTCGACTCGAGTCGAATGATTGTGCTTGGATTCGACTTAGGCGAATGATTTGCCAATTCGAATGATTAGTATAGTAACATTCAAGTCGCGCATCGCTATTTCTTGATAATTGCAACATTGTGGAAATTCTACACAGTTGTAAAGTCTATTTGAGATGTTTTCAACATTGTTTTTCAATTACGCATTTGACCTTCGTCTCACCTGATGGAAAGTGACGATGAGGTCCGCGGTGGACCATGCACAACTATTATTATTATTGTTATAATATCACGTGAAGGGACGAACAAGACGTGCGCCTGATGGTAAGCCACACTTACACAGTCTGTCTCTAACAGTTGCAGAACCACTCAGACCTTTAAATCGCAAAGATCTAAGGGGCACTGCCACTGCGCCCGTGACCCTGAGACATACGTTGACAAAAGCACCCTTACGCTTCAAAACCGGAACACAGTAATGTGGACTTTACTGCTTGGCGGCAGAAATAGGTAAGGTGGCAGTACTTCCCTGGACGAACTCTTTCACATGAAGCTCCACTGCTCTTCACTTACCTTAATTGAAACATATTGAGTACAGAAACATACAATCTGACCCTATCCCTATCAGCGTAGTACAGTTCTTTACCGTGTGCTTTCTCAGGGCTGGTGCTAACCCGTGCAGCGCAGCGCTCGGGTGCACTTTATTAAGTGCCTACTTAGGCGCCTACCTACCTATACCTAGGCGCCGTCTAGTAGGCACGTGATCAAAATGTAAAACTTAGTTAATTTCTCTCTCTCAGTGACCAGAAATTTGGTTGCAAATGGTTGTATTATAAATGATGTACACCCTGCACCTTTACCTATGTAAAGCCGGCACTATGCTTTCTCCTGGTTTTAATCTGATTCATAAACTACATCGTCCTCGTTATCCTTTTATTTTAGCTTATGTGTATAATGCGTCTAATCGTTATCAGTCTAAATATTAGCTTACATCGATAAGAAGTAGGCGTCACTCAAGGCTCGCTTTAAACGCTTCACATATCTTTGGCGTCCATCAAGGCACGCTATTTAGTCCTTGTTTTTTGTCCCTGATGCTTTGAAATTGAACAGCAAACATTTTCTGAAAACAATTGACAATTCCTTAAAATCCAGTATTAGCTTGATAAACACCGCCGACTCGCTAGACCAGGGTTTTTTAAATTTTTAGTCATGGACCCCTCTCAAAAGTTCAAAGAGCCCACGGGCCCTATTTACTCACTACATATTTTATACCAATTTTTATATTGATGCATTATGTTAGGTAGATTCGCCATCGACTCCTGACGTTCATTATTCGGATCCCTGAAGGTTCCGTGGACCACAGGTTAAGAAACCCTGTGCGTGACGATCGATACGGAGAATGCACGTCTGGCGTCCGGCACACCGGGCCTCCATTATTCGCCTCACCAGTACAGGTGTTTACATTTATTATAGGTATATTATATCTTGTACATTTGTCATATTCCTCGTAAGAAAAATGAATCAACTACGTAAGTAATACAGACAGGAAATCTTTGAAAACAGCGGATAAAATGTGGGCGTTGCCGTGACATCATACTGTTTACTCGCGATCTTCGGTCTCCGTCGCACACTTATGTAATTTACATACATAAGTACATTGACAGAGTCTTAATTGAAATTCTTGTCTTTATGATTTTTGTCTTTCCACGTTTTAAGTTAAGTCATAAATTTTTCTTGTCAAGACAGGCAAGTGTTGGTTTGTCAAGGTATTCTAGGTAGTTTGAGGCACAGTGCTTTGTTCCTATAACGCATAGATGGAATCTGTTTTAAACACACATAACCAATGGTCTAAATTGGGCGTTCCAAATAAGTATGTTAAATGTCTACATATACAGGGTGATTTGTAAAATACTAACAACCACCTAGGACTGTATTACTAACATCATAAACAACAGCTTTTGTTCCATGACTTTTAACAATTCATCAGATTTTATTCGACAAAAATAAAAATATAATATATAAATGGTGATAACTCTCTGCGGTAGCAAAAGAAAATACGCGGGAGGCATTGCTAAACAACTTACTTCCAAAGACCTAAAATGTGTCAGATAGTACAGCAAAAACTGAAAAGTTTCTTTTTGGTAAATTTATTATGTTTTTTGGTAAGTCATGGAACGTTGCTGTTTATGACGTTAGTAATGTAGTTAGTATTTTACAAACAAATCAATCCTTGTATATACGTATACAAAGATTGACATAACGACCCAATGAACACTCTACCAACTTTATTTTTTGGTCATTTTCTGTTATTTATGTAAACAGCCATATTTATCTACTTCCTAATATTATGCCTACGAATTTTATGAAAAAATTTAAGAAACAAAAAATAAAATTCGAAAAAAAAAGAAAAACAAAGTAAAAACAGAACAGTCAAAAATTAAGTTGCCGTAGTGTTCATTGGAGGTATCGTTATAGTGGTTAAAACACTAAATAATAATTAATTACTATTCTCGAATTTATTTTCGGAAATAAACCTGCTCACCTAGGTAGTGGATTTTAAAGTAATTCTAGTGGTGCCATGCAAAAAAATGCAGTACATTTTTATAATAACCTTTATGATACTTTTTAGATACGTTAAGCCATACTGACTGCCACTTTTAAAATTGCTAATTTCAACGCTGCGTAAAAGACTTTCAACATGAAAACATTTCGCGTAAACCTAATAGCATATTCATTATTATTTTCGTGACTACAAGTGTGTGAATTTTCGTAAAATGTAACTTATTACAGTGTACTTTCAATGCTCTTTTCTATGGTGGATTCGAATAAACAGATGAGTGTGATACATAAAGTATTTACTTACAACCCCGGTATATTTATACCATTGAAAAGTGAATAGAAAGTAAACTAGGTGTAATAACTTAGACAACTCGCAATCTTTGGTTTCATAAAGTCACATCTGCAAAATGACAGCTTTTCAAGAGAGAGGATTAAGATTCTACGAAGGAAATTAGTTGATAACTTTGAACTTATATGTTATGTTTAAATAGGAGCATTATAAAATGTCACATATACGTACGTAATTTGCCACTTACAGGTTTAAATCGCATAGATCTGAGGAACATTGCGCCCGTCACCATGAGACATAAGTTGACAAGTCCCATGTGCATGTAATTTTACCAGCAGTTTAAAAACCTATAACTACCTCAGTTTGAATGCAATTTTTCCCGTACTAATACGGTACAAGGTTTTACAAACGACATTAAAGCTATTTGAAAAATGTATATATGGTATAGTATAGGTACGTGTTCTATTTAGTTTAGAAGATATAAAAAAGAAACATTAGTACCTGTATGTAGAGGACCTATTGAATACAGCGGTTTATTTGTAAAATATCGAGGTACCTAAGTTTTTTTTCTATCGTAAAAATTTTTAGAAATCGTGTATTCACACCGTGTTACATATAATCAACCAAAGCCATTTGAGGTAGTATAGACACTTAAGTACAGTTGACGGCAGACATATTTTTATATAAATTTCATTAGATAAAAGCACTTTTAACGTATTATCACATGCGGCTTTGTTATACCAAGAGTACGACCTCATTTTGTCTGTAAATGGTTTTAATGTTGTATTACATTGTTCTAGTGAATAAAAAATACGACGTGAACGAGCCACAAGCGCAGAGCACGAACGCGGCAGCGCGAACGGCGAGCGGTGAGTCATTCATTACATTGCTCAATTATACGATGATGATGCTTCTATTTTCTATGATTAACACGACCTATTTAAATAAGTGGATTTTCATCTGAAACTATAAAGGGAAGTAAAAGAAAGAAAAAAATTAAGAAACTTTTTAAACGCACACGTGCCTTAGGAAATTCACCTATACTGATTTTGAACTAGCTCGGTATACAAATGAGATAATAGCCAAAATCATTTTATGTATATAGTAATCATATATGACCAATATACTGTTTTTTATACATGAAAACGGCATCCAAATATATAATAATAACAACGTGTACTTTAGTATCATCTAAAGTAATATTGTAAAAAAAATAATGTGGGTTACACCATTTTTGCGCTGATAGCCTCAAATATTACAATATTTATATACCATGCTAAGCCGTGGTTTGACCTACAGATGGTTCGAATCTGGGTTCGCACTTCTCGCTCATTCTCGGACCTGGAGTTCACTACTTAATTTCCGTGGCAATTTTTATTATTGAAATATTCAAGTATATTATCAATTTATCATGTAATTATTAAATAATATTTCATGATACAATACTCAAATATTAATTAATATTACACGAAAAAAAATCGAATCCTGCGTCTCTGGCGATCATAAAAAAAAAGATTTCGATATATTTGTATAGCACATTCCATCACGGTCGCTACCGAGTGCAAATTGTTGCGTAATGGTAAAGGGTGTAGTAAAGCCTAGAATTCCGTCTAAGAATGAGTTATGCTGTATAAATAGCACGTACATGTGTGACAGGTGTTAGCAGTTTTGGGCCATTCCAAAGTGACGGGTGGGACATTTTGACTCCTTTTTTCTTTAACTTTAATTAATTTCTCCCTTACCATTGGTTAGTTAGACTTAAAATAAAATATCATGAAGCAAGATATGCAATTCAACTGCGACTATTTATTTACATAAATTTATGACATTATTTATACTCAAAAGTTTTCATTTTCTAAGTGTGACGGGTGGGACACTCACGACACCCGCCTGTTTGAGTTGATGGCTTCAATGCCAAGATCTAGACAAAGTATTAATATTTTGTTCAGCAAGTTTTTTATATGAGATAACTTGAACGTTAAAGTTCTATTTTATATATACACTTAATTAATAACTTTGATAAATTTTAAGGAAATTAATATGTTAAGTTGTGACAGGTGGGACATGATTTTGTGACGGGTGGGACGAGTTGCAATAGAATACACAGAATTAATAAAATTACACTGTTTAATATGAGATCCATTGTTAGTAAGTAAATATTTTATAATTTTTGTCTTATTAAGACATTTTAACATAAACAAGAAAAACAGAATTAAAGAACTGATACAGTAATCCTATTATTTTTCTTGAAACTCTATCTATGACGAACGTGAAATCAAAGTCACGCATGTAAAATGCGTTAATAAATTTTAAAAATCCTGCCGCATCCTTGAAGATTATGTATCATATCAAAATATATCTAATTTTAGAAGTTTCGCTCGAATATATAGTTAAAACTACAGTGGAGAGAGACTTTTCATGGATTTCCTGATACTAAAAATAATCAGGAAAAGTGTTGTCACTTTTTAATTGTCGTTTTTTGTGTTAAAATGTCTTAATTTGATGGAATGACCCTTTTATAATTTTAATCATACAATGTATTTGTGATAATCATAATAATATAGAAAATAGATAATGAGTACAGTTGTTGATTTGAACAAGTCATGAGCATAAGGACTTGAGTAGCTATGTGATGTTGAATTTTACCGTTTAGGAACTTAATTACACAGCCTGATTATTATTGTGCATTAATTGTACATCACGTTAATTATATATTATCCTTATTACTATAAGTAAATCTAACTGTGGTTTTAATGTACAAATGTTTAGTCTTATATATGTAGTCAGTACCAGAATCTGTCCAGTAGTTTTTGAGGTTATCGCGATCAGACTGACAGACATACGTAGTGATGTAGTGATTATACACTACATTATAGACATGTAACATATTTAAAAAAATAAGTAGCCCAAAACCATCTTCGTTGAGAACACCCAGCTAGATGTAGTTGACGAGTACATTTATCTTGGACACTGTATATCTATTAGCCGAGCTTCCCAAGACCCGGAGATCGCCAGAAAGGTTCAGTTGGGATGGGCCGACTTTGGAAAACTGGAGGACGTCTTTAAGTCTAAAATCCCTAAAGCCTGAAAACTAAAGTTTATAACCAATGTGTCCTGTCCATACTTACTTACGGTGCCGAAACAAGGTCGCTCACAAAAAAAAAGAGTATATAGCGATAGCCGACCGTCTCCAGTTACTTGGAATGGACCTGTCGTCCATTATGAACTTCGGCAGATACATTGAATCCATGGCCAAAAATGCAGCAAGGAAGCTTGGCATCCTTTCCAGGGTGAAGCGTTACTTTACACCGGGACTTGTTGGTGTGGACGAGTTGCTCCAGCTGTACCAAGCACATGTCCGGACGTGCATGGAGTTGCTGCCACCTTTGGGATGGCTAGCTACATACCAACTGTCCTCCTTGGTTTCAATCAACAACCGTGCCAAAACGCTTATAGGTGACTCAGAATTGGTGAAGGCGAAGCTGCAGAGCCTTGAACACCGCCGTAAAGTTGCTTGCTTTTCGGTATTTTATAGGATATATCACGGAGAGTGTGCAATCGAATTGCACGATATTATTCCGCCTTCCCTTTTCCATCATCGCGGGACCAGACGTAGGCTTGGGTACCACCCCTATGTTATGGATATTCCAAAGATTCGCACGAAGCGCTACGCTTCCACATTTATATAGTGCGCGGCTATGGAGTGGAATTCCCTGCCTGCAGACTTGTTCTCCGAAACGTTATAATTTGGACCTTTTGATAGCGTGCTAAGGCATTATTTAGATGTGCATGCTTGATTGTCGACCTCATTTCCATCAGGTGAGAAGGAAGTCAAATGTGCACCTAAATTTCATTAAAAAAAGAGTAGCACAAAGGGAAATGGAGCGCACCATGCTCGGCATTTCCATCCTCAACCGTATTCCCAACGTGGAGATACAACAGCGAACAAAGGTCGTAGACGTCGGTATGCGGATCGGGAGCCTAAAATGGAGATGGGCAGGTCACGTTGCTAGGCGGGACGACAACCGATGGACCAACGCGGTCAAAGAGTGGTACCCGGTAGAAGCGAGACGTCCTTGAGGCAGAACACCTGCTAGATGGTCGGACGATATCGTCGGGGTGGCCGGAAGATTGTGGATGAGATTCGCACAGGACCGATTGAGCTGGCGTGCAAAAGAGGAGGCTTATACCCAGCAGTGTGTGTTAACGGGCTGAAATAATGTAACATATCAATATTTTATACGTAAAATGTACAAAAGTGATTTAAGTAGATTATAGTTATACGATGCGATGCAGTGCGGCCCGCCATAAAGTGCGTGAGCCTTTAGAATATTTAAGTACTTTGAATTATTTCTTGTTATCAACAGTGAATTTTTTGTCGCGATTGGCCGCCCCTAAAACCTGGCCGCCCTAGGCCCGGGCCTATTGGGCCTTAGGGCAACAACCGCCACTGCCTACTGTACCTACTGACTAGTTAGTCAGTACCTAACTTTCTCATAAGTGTACTTTACCTAATTTAGGGCTTTTTTTGAACAATAAATTATTATTATTATTGTATAGAGTCGACATGTGGTACAGCGTCTGTAGCATTCGCTGTAACAATATCGTGCTTCTAATTCTCTATCGTCATTATAACAGAAGGTGGGTGTGCAATAACGAGCAACACATACCGGTGTAATTGGTTATATCCTACGCCGCGATGTTTTGTAAATCGCGAACCGGTTTCATGAGCCGTCTATTCGAAACAATTGTGAGAAACTTGAAAATAAAAGTATTGCTCGTCTGTGCACTGCGTTTTTAGACTTTTCAGAACTCAATTAATCGATTTGAAAAATTAAATGGCTTCATTCATAGCCAACATGGCGCTCATGTACGCTAATATAGTAGTTCGTTAACGTTTAGTCAACGCTATACCATCATTTTACGTGAAAAAAGTGAGTTTTTTGCCAGCTAAATGGCATATTACTTAGCGAACTTGTTGGATGTGCTACCCAATATTAACGCATATGTTTTACGTCCGTAAATTGACTAAAATGGCGGAAAACATTGGTAACATGGAAAGGTACGCGTTTACTATATGAGCCACACATCCATAGTAAAATAACTTAAGACGAGTATGGTAACTCCACACAAAAATAGCGACTTGGCTTGTATGTTCCCGCCGCGTGAATTGTAGGTACGGATGCACACATTCGTACATATTATGCGAAAGTGTGCATCGACACACGGCGCGCGGCGAGTGTGAACCATAGATATAGAAAAAAAGGTGTGAACACATGCATGCCAAGTTGACTCATTTGTTTAAATAGCAATAGAGTGAAAGAGTTCGTCCAGGGTAGTACTGCCACCTTACCTATATATGCCTAATGTCAGCATTACTGTGTTCCGGTTTTGAAGCGTAAGGCTGCTGGTGAAATTACAGGCACATAAGACTTGTCAGCTTATGTCTCAGGGTGACGGGCGCAGTGGTAGTGCCCCTCAGATCTTTGCAATTTAAAGTGGCACTGTACCTGTTATGGACAGACGTGTAGCTTGCCATCAGGCGCACGACTTGTTCGTCCCGTCACTTTATGTTATAAAAAAAATTGTATGGAGTTAGAGCGTATGCGCAGTGCGTCCCGTTCGTATCAGTTCCGAATCTGAGAAATGGCGGTCCGAAATGTCACAGGGATCATTTTATCTCTAGGTATACAAGCGACATTCGTATTTTCTAGATTTGTATACTCTCAGATTCGGAAAGAATTGGATGTCATGTGCTAACGCGTTTACCATACTTGTGTTATTTATTTTATGACACAACGTTCCAAAAGAAGAACAGTAGAGCTCGTACCTACTAAACCGGAAACATGTCGCTTATTTACGATTTTTTTAAAGTAAGATAATTTTGTTACAGATTGATTACGACGAAACGACTCGAGCTTGGAGCCGAAATCTTCTCGGCCCCTCGAAAATATTAAGAATCGCTCCGCGGCTGTCAGGCACTACATTATCCTGCACTGCTCTTGCATCGTATTAAAAACGAAAAAAATCTCGAAAAATATTAAAACCCTCTGTCAGTGGCCACGGCAGAGGGCGACATAATAATTGTACATTTTATATATGCATATATAAATTGGAGAAAAGTGATCTCTAACGTGACGTCACAATCAAAATATTGTGATTAACTTACCTTTAAATATTATTAAAAAGCTTTGTTGTTTACTCGCATTTTTAAATATTGCCCGTTCGTAGTTAGAAATAGTTTTTTTTGTATCAAAAAGAGGTGTAAATATTTGTTAATAACAAAAATAAGGTGTGACATTTCAAGTAACTATAATACTAGTCATTGATCTAGTGTATTTATTTTGATAAATGTATTCTTTTCGTGGTTAGGAGATAGTTCTATAACTAAAACAATTTATAAAGGTTCTTTTAATAAAGCCGTAACTATTTTAATTGAATAAAAAAAGAAGCTGAATTGCTAAAGCGCATTAATTTACCAAAGAGAGACTTTATTTACACACGCGAACACATAAATTCCGTCCAAATTACGTAGGATCGTGAACCGTCGAGCAAAAAACGACGCGAAAGCGGTGTTGCTTAGTAAATCTAGACTAGACTTGGACAAAAACCGGTAAAAGATGCAAGCGCAAATGGGCATGGGAAACGAGCTGCAACGGAGCTACAGGATGCAGGACTTCGCAGCGCCTGGCGTCATCATGAGGGAGCGAAGTTTCATCAGGCCGCAGTCGCATCATCATATGCATCATAACCAGGTAATGCAAATTTATCAATTTGGTTTATGCTCTAATCATAATGTCAAATGCATATCTATCTCTTTTCTTAAAGGCGGCCCTTGTCCAGCAGCGGGACATTATAATGGGTTCACGATGTTAATGACGATCTAATGTGTATACAGGGTTATTTCGTTATTGATAAAACATTAACAACCTCCCAGGTTTAATTGTTGTTCCATGACTTTATAAAAAAAAACATAATAAATTTACCAAAATTAAGTTTTTGTTGTTCTATATGATATTTTTTTAGATCTATATCTGGTAGTAGGGCAGTAAGTTTAAACATGCAAGCATCCTCTCCGATGACCTCCACCCTCGCTCCTGCGTTTTGCTCAGCGTTATCACAGTTTATACCGATCTATTTAAATATTTTTATTTTTGTCTGAAAGTATAATGTAATGAATTATTAAAATGCATAGAACAAAAATTGTTGTATATGATGTTACAAATATAGTCCTGCTATGTTTTTATAGTATTTTTTTATAAATAACCCTGTATATGTTTAAAAAGAATAACTAAATAATAAAAGTGTAAGTAAGAGAGTGTAAAGTATACTATGATGTATCTTGAAAAAAAAATATGATCGAAATAAACTAGATGTTGTTACTAACTGCCTCCGTGGCCAAACGTTTACCTTGCCAGACTGTCATACAGAGGTCCCAGGTTCGATTCCCGGGCCGGGAGAAATATTTGTACGGCCTACATTTACTTCTCTCGTGAGTTTGGGTGTAATTTGTGGTTGTCTATGTGTGTGTCCATGGCACCCGCGACACAGGGTTTCCCTAGTGCGGGGCTATGTTGAGTGTGTACGTTATTATTATTATTATTTAAGGTGTTAATGTAACTTGTTTTCATCTGCGCCTATCAAGCACAATTTTAAACAATTAAAAATATCGAAATTTAATAATGTTGTGATTGATCCACTCATTTGATTAAAATCCATTTTTGCACAATTTTCCACTCTAAATTTTTATTTTCTTTTTTAAATATATAAAATTGGCTTAAAACGACTACACCAATATTAAAGAAAAACTAAAATCTAAAATCTGACAGCATGGCTCAGTCGCCACAACTTGTCCCGAGACGAACAATTTTACTACTTATTACCAAATATAAAAGAAGTTTCAAAATGGCCACCGCAAAGACATAACCATTTTTCTCGCGAAAAAATGTCAGACAATTAAATTGTTGAAGAAAAATTTAAAATCTAAAGTCTGGCAGTACGGCCAATTAGACGCATTAATCTGACGCGAAGGACGAAAAGTTTTAATACCGAAATGTAAAACTTGGTTTTGTAAAAGTTCCTTATTCAAATGTTTATAAATTCCTATGGTTTTCCATCCTCTACGGGTATAGATGTATTTTCGAAAATAAGCTGTCTGACCGGTAGGCAAAACCTTCAATAAACAAACCTACATATCGCAAAAACATTAACAGTCAATATATAAATAAATATAAAGAAACGAAAAAGTAGTTATCAACTATTTTAACAATTAATAATATTGACATTAATTATTCATTTTCGCGGACTATCGGACTGAGCTACGTTTCGTTAGGCGAAAATATCGCTGATCCAAGTCTAGCTGGATCGAAGGATTTTTTCTTTGAGTTAGTGCGATTTTATTCGGTTTAATTCTTTGTAGTTAAATGTCATTACCGTGAAGTTCGTAGGCGAGCCCACCTACGAATCTGCATTCATTTACACAACAGCCTTCAAATATTATTCCGTTCTTGGTACATAATGAATCTGAATCATAGATACTGTAATTAATATACTACGTATTGTTCGTCTAGGTGTACATCTATGTATATTCAATCTAATCCATTGTCCTCCAAAACTGAGTGACTCTTCGGCGAACGCAAATCTCCAAGTAGTTATTACGACATTCCTACACTAACGTCATAGTAACAAAACAATGTAATTTACGTTATTGAAGAATAGTAATCTTTTTACATTGACTTACAAATAAATGGACGACGGGTCTAATACAAAATCCACGAAAAAAATGTCCCAAATCAACCTATTTAAACGTAGTGACATGTAAAGGAATATGAAAAGGCTAAAACGTTGAATTTAAATTGTAATGTCATCGTAGTACTGTCTAATTTTGCTTGCTTCGCTGTCAGTCGAACAAACGAAGACTAAAGCGTGAATGACGCTCTGTATACGATTTTAACGCCCTATAAGTTCGGACATTTTTTAGCGCGGACCCGACGTCCATATAATTGTAAGTCAATGTCTTTTTATGAAAAATAGTGACAGACATAACATTAAATACGAGGAATGAAAATAAACTTATTATTCTTGACAGCCGTCTTCATAAAGTCACAAAATAAATGAAGGCTATGTATACGCTTTTATAATAACATTCCCGTTGACATTCAAAATGTGCTATTTATGAGGTTTAAAACTACAACTTTATACTTAAGGTTATACAGCTTCTACGTAGGTGGATGACAAAAATCCTTTCTAGTGATTCATTGCAAGTTCATATTTGTATTGCAAAAACGAGCGATTCTTTCTGTGTACCGTCTAGGCTCTCGGGTTTCTCTGAGAGAAAACTTTAAGGATACTGGTATCATGACTGGCATCGCAGTACATTTGCTCAAATATTTTATATGCCCGTAACAATATACATAATTTCAATAAGAAAGAAGATATCCATAATGTTAACCTTAGAGCTAAACCTAAACTCATGGTACCACGATTTCGTTTAACCAAAATATACGATTTTACAATAAGATTCCGGAGCATATATTAAGATTATCATTGCCTAAGTTTAAAAACTACATTAAAAATATTTTGATTGAAAAGTCATATTACAAAATTGAAGACTACGTGTTAGATAAACATGTATGGAAAGACGACATGACTCTAGAATCCACACAAATTTGATTCAAAGTGTATTCCATGGCATTTAAGTTTAATTGAAAAGAGCAATCTCTAGAGTTTCTTGCTCGTTCTTCTCAGGGAAGTCAGCGTAGTGAACGAGCAGTAGCTTAAATGTAACGTTTTCAGTGTAAATTTATTTTACCTATTTAATAAATGATACTTTGACCTTGAATAAAAATCTGCTTGAATAAAAATAAATATCTGGTAGCAAGCGATACGCTTATGCATAACTTTCCATTGAATTTGAATTTAAATCGCAAAGACCTGAGGTGCACTGCCACTGCCTGCGCCCGTCACTCTAAGACTTGAAGTTGACCAGTTCCATGTGGCTGTAGTTCCAACAGTTATTTTTTTGATTTTCTAGTATCCGAGAGTCGTTTGCAATAAAATGAAACGTTTCATTTATATATACGTGACCGGGACATAACCATTTCCATTAATTTCAGAGATATAAGCAATTAAAAATTTTTCTCGCCACCAATACTTAGAAACGCCACCAAAACGCTTATCGGTTGCACCAGAATTGAATATTGCCACCGAAGTTGAAAGACAATTAAGTAAATTTAATTGTTTCTTTAGATTTAATTGTGATAAAAATTTGTTTGCCCCTTTAAAACGACGCACAGTTGGAACTTTTTTCTGCTTTTTCTTTTTAATATTAGGGGTTAAAGTATGAAATTGCCGTTTTATTGCAATAGGTTCTTTGAATTTTCATAGAATCTTCATGGTTTGAGGTTTTCGAATGAAACTTTTTTCAAATGGTTTCTGTGATTTTTTTTTAATTTGAAGCATTTGAATATCGACTTTCAATTGTTTTTGTTATTCAATTTAGACAAGAAAGATGGATACTGCGAAAATTCGAGTGATTTTTGAATACGAGTTCCGACGCGGAACTAACGCGGCAGAAACAGCCCGCATATCAATGCTGCGTTTGGAGAGGGGTCTACTAATGAACGCACCGTGCGATTTTGGTTTAAACGCTTTCGTGATGGAAATTTCGACTTAAAGAACGAGCCACGAGGAAGACCGCCCACACAGGTGAATAACGATGAATTAAGAGAGATAGTGGAAGCCGATCCTAGTCAAACTACCCAGGAATTAGCGGCATGGTTTAACGTTACCTTACCCACAATATTGACTCACTTGCGTCAAATCAATAAAATAAAAATATACGAAAAATGGGTGCCTCATGATTTGACTGATCTGCAGAAAGAAACGCGTGTTGAAACTTGTGTTGCCTTGTTGAACCGGTACAGAAATGAAGGAATATTGGATCGAATTGTAACATGTGATGAAAAGTGGATTCTTTATGATAACCGTGAAAGAAAAATGCAATGGCTGACCCCAGGTCAAATGCCACAACAGTGTCCTAAAGCAAAACTTACCAATAAAAAGGTAATGGTAACTGTTTGGTGGTCTCAGCATGGTGTTATTCACTATAGTTTTCTCCGATCTGGTCAAGCAATAACGGCAGATGTCTATTGTGCCGAACTCCGAACCATGTTGACAAAACTAGCAGTAAAACAGCCCCGACTCATGAATCGATCTTCACCATTATTGCTCCACGACAACGCGAGACCTCACACAGCACGAGAAACCATTTTGACCCTTCAGGAACTGCAGTTAGAAACCATTCGTCATCCTCCGTATTCACCAGACCTTGCTCCAACGGACTACCATTTTTTTCGTGATTTGGACAATTATCTACGTGACAAGAAGTTTTCTTCCCAGGAGGCAGTACAAAATGCTTTCACACAGTTTGTGCAGTCTAGATCGTCGGAGTTCTATCGCAAAGGCATTAATAACCTTCCCATTAGATGGCAGCAATGTATAGATAATAATGGCAACTATTTTGATTAAATAAATTTGTTAAAAATTTAAAAAATAAACAATTTAGATTTTCAGTACAAATCGGCAATTTCATA